ATTTCCCCTAGCAATTGAATGTCGCTCAACTGGTCTGAAGGGCAGATTTTCATGCTTATTTATTTGTATATTTGCTCTTTGTTTATGCCTCATTTTAGAGGATATAGGGCATATGTCATATAATTGCCCTTGATTCTTCTCTATAGGGCTAGATGTGATATGAGTGCTCTCAAGATCTATAAAAGAGTAACACCTTTCACATTGAGCAATATTTATAAGCTCTCTATGTATAAAAGATGAGTCTTGATTAATTTGCCTATGTGTACTAGATGTAAAGCAGTTCAAATAGTTAGAGCAGTTTGTGATAATTGTTTCTAAATTTTTGACTTGTAAGTGTTGTTCAAGTTTTATAGGCTCTTGCAATATGCATAAGAGACTTAAATTTGGGACAAGTTTACTCTCAAACTGTGTCTGAGTAATAGTCAAAGCTAAAAGACTTTGGATCAAAGCCTTAAGACAACACAATGTTCTAATTGTCAAAGCTTTGTAAAATTTAGGTGAATAATTCCCTAATTTATTCTTCACTAAAGCTGGCTTTAGCTCTCTTTAAGTTGGAGTTGAAGACAAGAGTTATAGATGCCCAATTTTTCTACTTGTGTATGCCTAAAAAAATTGTGACATGCTCCTGAAAAATGTATCCTTTAAAAATTTAAGTGAGAATTTACTTAGAAATAAAAAATTCTAAAGTATTTAATTATATTTTCCATATTAAACAAACTTCATTCCTTCTTCTTTTAGATTTTTCTCAAAAAATTGCTAATGAAACAATTTAAACTTGAGTTTCTGGACAATGTATGTTAAACTCCAATTTTAAACTCATCCCATGCTCTATGGTTTAAGTGACGGTTGAAAAATTATCTTTTTTGCATTGTCTGGGCACTAAGCCATTGCAATCGCAAAAAGAGCTCATTTGTTTAGTATTGTTTAGGCTCAAGGTCTTTGTAATCACTGAAAAGATTTACTTGTGATTCCTAGTGCTAGGCACATTTAATATTCACAAGCTATTTTCTCCTAACTGTTTTTCAAGCCAAAGAGTGATGGTTTATCCCACCATTGTGGCCAAAAGTGAGTAAAAAAATATTGATACACCAAATAGAGACTTATTTAGCTCAATGAATCTAAATTTAAGTAACTCTTTGACTTGTCATTAAATTTCTTATTCCTTTATATAATTTAGCAAAAATGGACAACAGTAGATTTGCCTCATCCTTAGCTCTAGTGTAATTTCATGCTCCACACCTTTTAATGAAGGCAACTTATAAAAAAGTTTGGATGAAAAAATATTAGTAAACTCTTTAAGTATATCTTACACTATTGCCTCTCCCATACACATGTCTTGGTCCCTCAAGTTACAAATAAATAGTAAATAACTTGAAAGTGCCTTTTCCATTATAATATGCTCACTTTAAAGATGTAATAAAAAGTATAACAACTGAAGGTTGAACTCACTTTTCAAACCATACATCTTTGACACTACTATATTTTAATGACACATGTTTAATGCTTCACTTTATCTTTAGATCCACTTTTGCCAACTATGGCATTTTAAAAATGAATGAAATAAAAGATCTCCATAAGTATGATTTTGCTAACTAACACTTCCAACTTCTTTACATAAACATCTAAATGTTGTATAGAGGTAATTGCACCTTCCATCATGTCTGGAAAAACTCCTTGTGTCATCAAATTATGCTTTTTAACAAATGTTTCTAAAATAAAGTTGTTATTACTCCCATTGTTCAATAAAATCCATACTAGACTGCCACAAAACATGTTTTTTAACATTAAATTTGATGCATAATTATCCTTGACCTTTATTTTGTTCCACACATTGTTAAGTTGACAAACAACAATGAAAAACCTCTTCCTCCAGCTAGAACAGTTTTTATTGTCATCCTCAAGTTGTAAATTGTGTAACTTCTTAGTATCTAATATATTGTTATTTGAAGATTAACCATTCTTCTTGCTTTGTTACTTATTTTTCAACTGTTATCAATTAGCTTTATAATGTCCAAACTCATTGTAATGATAATAACCTTGCCTATAATTTTTCATAAATAATTTCTATTTTTTCTGCCCCTTCATATTAGAAGTAGCCACAAAGACTTCAATTTATGATGTTTAATTTTATTTTTGTATCCATGGTAATTATCACAACAATTCTCAACTAAAAGATTCCTTGAATGCTTATGAGACTTGTGCTTGTCATTATCAAATCAATAAGCCGCATCAAAGAGCTCCTCTAAATTTTTTGTAGGTTGGGAATGATGTAAATGTTGCCTCATGCTCTCATTGTAAATGCCATCAATAAAATAGGATTTATTCTAATCTAGATCCTTTATTAGAACATGGCTAATCAAGCAAGTGAGCTTTTTATTATAATCCTTAAGTGTCTTTTTCCTTTACTGGAAATATCAAAGTTTTATATGAGTATTCTCTATGTCATAGTGAGGGGCAAAACATAGACAAAAGCAATTTAAAACTCATCTATGGTAAACTTAAATAGTTTTTCATTTACAACACAAGACTCCTTAAGTTAATTCCATCATTGAAAATCTATATTACACAAAACCATTGAAATAACCACTAAGCTTTTGCATTTAGAGTTTTTCTAGCAGCCAAAAACTTTTTCACATTAACTAGCCAAGTTAAATAAACCATCTCTTAAAAAAGTTGGAATCTTGAATTAATCCATCAAAGAAGTCTTATTTGGATTATTACCATTGCTAGCTTGGAGTGCCTTAATACAGCCATGCATCATAACCTATGTATTGCAACAATTTATCTTGTCTTGCATTTCTTGTTGATTTTTGTTGAGGTTTTGCATTATATGACCATGCAGTTAACATGGGTTAAAGGGAAGCTTAAGGGTATGGATTTAAGGTAATGAATTTAAAAATTTTGGGTAATAATATAGTCTAGGCAAAGGTAAGTGTCTTTATTTTTGTTATTTAGCAGCAAGCTTTAAAATCAAGTGATCACCCCTTTAGTCAGTTAACATATGGTGTAAACGATAGGATCTTAACAATAACTATAGCAACAATATAGTTGATTCAATTGATAGTGTGGCTAAAAAATACTTAGATCTGGTGGCTGGAATAAAACTACTTTGTGGCTTGATTATTTAGTGAAGACTAGAGTGAAAGGTAAACAATGCATTATATTTCATATATAATATATATGATTATTACAAATAGAAGTATTTCTAGCATATAGTATATAGAATCAATTTCTAGGAAGGTAATAATCTTCATCAAGGACCATGAACAATAAGTTTCCCAGCTCTCCTCACATTTTCCAGCGCTTCAAGCATCTGCACGTTATCGGTCCTGGTAAAGATGCCGTGGAGTAAGTCGTAGACACTGGCCGTGAATGGGCAGAGCATTTCTTGCATGTAGACAAAGACGTGAGAGATCTCCTCCATCTGGCCCATCTGCTCGTAAGCCCGGATCATCGTCTCGTACACCCCAGGCGTCCGGTTCACCCCCTTGTCCAGTACCGCCGCGAAAAACTCCATGCACGAATCATAGTACCCGGCCTTGAAGCATACCTCGAGCAGCTCCACGTACACGCTGCCTCGTATCCGGCACGACGAGCACTGCATCTCCTTGAACACCGCGATGGTGTCGTCCCAGCACTGCGCCGCCGAGAAAGCCTTGATCAAGGTGATGAAGAACTGCTCGCCGAGCTTCACACTGTCGTGATCGATCGTCTTGAGCAGCTCCAGAGCCTTGTCGTAAAGGCCGGCCTTGCAGTAGAGGCCCAGCATGATCACGTAGCTTGCCTCGTTGGGCCGGTTCCCAGAGCCGAGGATGCAATCGTCGAAGACGCGGACAGCTTCCTCCAGCTTGCCGGCTCTCACGTAGGACTCAAGCACGCAGTTGAGGAGATAGATGTCTGGCTGGATCTGGCACCCGGCCATGGACTGGAAGAGGTCCTCCACTTGCTGAGTCTGGCCGGCCTTGGCGTAGACGTTCATCAGGCTGGTATACGCGATCTTGTCCAGCTTGATCCCCTGGATCTTCATCCGGTTGAAAAGCGTTCGCACGATGCTGGACGAGCCGGGTATCTCCTTGCAAACTGAGAAGAGCTGGCTGTACGTCACCACCGTGGGCCTCACTTTGCTGTCCTCCATGTCCTGGAAGATCTTGAGCGCGTCCATGCCCCGACCGTCTCGGCTATACACCCGGATCATGAGGTTGCAGATGAAGGAGTTGGGAGCTACGTTGATCTGCTGCATGAGGCCGTACCACTTCTCGCAAACTTCTACCTGCTGAGCGTCCGAGGCCTCCTTGATCACCGCCTCGAACAAGCCAAAGTCGAGGTAAAAGCTGTTGTCGTGCATCCAGTCTACCAGGCTGTTGAGAGCACCCCACTTTCGAGCCACCAGGAGCCTGTGGAGCATCGTGAGCGCGGTGTCCAGATTCAAAGGGACGTCGCCTTGTTTCCTGGCCCAGTCGAAGAATCCATTTGCCAGCCTCGTGTCGCGGACGAGCTTGAGCACCATGGCAACGTCTCGAGGTGACGAGAGCTTTGTTCTCACTCCATCTAGCTTCTCGTCCAGATCTTCCAGGTAAACGGTGTCGTTGAGCACTGCCACCACTTGATTAACTAGCTGGGTGTCGAGAGAAGCCGCTGGAGGGGTGCTCGCGTTGATGGTGTTCTTCCTCGGTTTCCTCTTTCTGTGGCGAATGTGGTAGGCTACGTCGTCAATGCCGCCTCCAGTTCCTTGCGGTGACGGTTGCGTAGAGAAGCCCAAACCAGCGACGAACCTCACGGCGCCCACGATCTTGTGCAGCCTTCTCGTTGCTCCAGTGAGCATTGGAGTTCGGAAGAACCCTAAGCGTCTGAGGATTCTTCGTGGGTTCGAAGGAGCGCCTTGCAGAACCTTACGTGCAATGCGTGACTTGCCTGGATTGAAAAGAAAACCAGAAAAAGTGTCATGGACAGCTCAAGTTCTTTCATACCTTGAAGGCGAAGATATGAGCGACAGGGATACCGGGATGGCCACCTCGAGAGCACAACGAGATATCGCCCAAGAGGTCGAGCATCTTGTGTCGGCAAGGCTCGTCCCGGAATCGAAGCGGCGGATTCACCCAGCCAGTTACTTTTCTGTTTAAACAAAGGGAAGACGAAGAGATACGAAACGAGAAAGGAACACATGATCTTACTTGCAGATCAAAGCGTTCTCTAGACTTCCTCCTTGGATCAGCTTTGCTCCTCTCAGCATTTCAATCTGCGAAAATAGAAACTTTTGAAGTGTCTAGAGGAACAAATGAGCTCACCTGACCTGCTCATATAAACCGAAGGTCCGAGCCGGAGCAACCTCTTCGCGAAAGGAGCAAGAATCCGGAAAGTAAGTGAAGCACTGAGTTCCAATCGCAGGATGCTAAGTCCAAAAGATGTAAGTGATCGATCAACAAAAAGAGACAAGAAAGAGAGTACCTCGCGAAAATCGATACAGTACGTAAGCATGGAGGTCGAAGCTGGGAAAGCCGCTACAAACGAGTCCGATTCCGGGTTCCCGACATGGACTGGAAACTTAAGCTTGAACCTCTTTCTTCTAGCAACAGCACTCCCATCCTCGTCTTTGGCAGCAGAGATCCCAGCGCGATCGATTGCTTCCACCCACGGCAACGCCGATCCATCCAGCAAAGGCACCTCGTCATTCCCTTCCAGATGGATCCGGCAGTTGTCCACGCACAAGCCCTCCAAGGCCGCTAGAACATGCTCCACCGTGCGTATCCTCCCCACGCGAGTACTCAGCTTGCAAGCCTCCGGCACCACAAATTCTGCCGACGCTGGAATCGTGTAGTCCCTTGGATCTTCCCGGAGCGTGAAGAATCTCCCAGCGCCGGCTCGAGCAGGGAAGATCGTCACGCGCGTCTCCTTGCCAGTGTGTAATCCAATGCCGGATCGCGTCACCGGGGTCACGATCGAGGTCTGGAACGCTGGCTGCGACGAAATATCAGCTTAGATCCCAGGCGCTGGATCTATCGCTTACCTCTTCGCGCAGGCAGGGAGGAGCCAGAGCTCGCGTCGCCAGCGCCAGCGCCCTCGCCCTCGCCCTGGAAGAAGGCGCTAGCATTATTTTGAAAAACCGCAAGAGTTAGGATTCTAGGGTTCTTGGGGATACCGGTTGTTCTTCTACGGAGAGGCGCCGGTAGAAGGTCCAGGGGGCACTGCCGCTGATCGATCATCGATGCAAACAGGCATGGTTTGGTCTTGCTGCCAGCGCTGCGGCATTCTGTTTGTTAGAACATCGCCGGTGTCGATGATCTTAGTGATGAGGAAGGGCGAGGGTTGAAATCTTCTACTCTTCTTCATGCTCACAGCGAATCTTTGAGAGAAGCAATTTCTAGGATGGATTCCGGCAAGCCGCCGCTCGCTGGGGTCAAGGATGCCGTGCAAGTGGCTGTGAACATCCGGCCTCTCATCGGATCGGAGCTCTTGCAGGGCTGTAGGGATTGCATCAATGTTGTCGCTGGAGAGCCTCAGGTATGTTCTTCTTTCGAGATTTCGATGCTCATTCTTTCTGGAAACCATCACAGATCCAGCTCGGGACGCATTGTTTCACGTTTGATTACGTCTATGGCACTACCACCGAGTCATCGTCGTCCAAGATCTTCAAGGAGTGCGTAGCTCCGCTTGTGGATGGGCTCTTCTATGGCTACAATGCTACTGTTCTTGCGTATGGCCAGGTACTAGAGAGAATGCAAAGTTGATACGAGCGTTAGAAGTTTTATTCTTTCCTTCTATCAAAACTTATGTGGCAGACTGGTTCTGGGAAAACATACACAATGGGAACAGGGTACACTCCTGGAGGGAACAATGGAGGAGTTATCCCCCAAGTCATGGAGAAGATTTTTAACAAAGCCCACCATCTCAGGAATCAAACGCACTTCCACATCCGAGTCTCGTTTATAGAGGTAAGATCATTTTGTTCATCGGCTTTGATTTGCATGAATGCTACTAAAAGTCTATGTTCTTGTAGATATTGAAAGAAGAAATCCACGACTTGCTTTGCGAAACAACAGTTACGAAGCAAGACACAAGTGGGATGAAGACGCCACTGCTAACAAGACCATCAATTCAAATTCGGGAAAGCACTGCTGGAGAGATCAACCTTGCTGGCATCACAGAAACCGATGTTCACACCTTGCAAGAGATGGCGTCGTGTTTAGCTCAAGGTTCTCTTTCCCGTGCGACCGGAAGCACGAATATGAATTCTCGTTCAAGGTTTGTTTTGTGTTTTCTGTCTCTAGTTTTCTTATTGATTGGTAAAGTATTGCAGCCGTTCGCATGCTATCTTCACCATCACTTTGGAACAGAAGAAAAAGCACCGTGAGAAGAGCTCTTCCTCTTTTGATGCTGCATGCGATGACTTTCTGTGTGGAAAGCTTCATCTTGTGGACCTTGCTGGGTCTGAGCGGGCAAAAAGGACTGGAACTGATGGGATGCGTTTTAAAGAGGGTACGCATTGCATGGCTGCCATCGTTAAGAAGTTGTCATCATCCATTTTTATTGTTCTTGCAGGTGTTCATATCAACAAAGGTCTTTTAGCTCTTGGGAATGTAATTAGCGTTCTTGGAGAGGACAAGAGGCGGAAGGAACCAAGACATGTGCCGTACAGGGATAGCAAGCTCACTCGACTTTTACAGGTTTGCGGGAATCACTTTGAAGTCCTGTGATGATTTAATAAGTGCCTCGTGACAGGATTCACTTGGTGGTAACAGCAGGACTGTGATGATAGGTATACAGCCTTGGCGATTTGTTTCCTTTTTTCTAATCTAAAATCCTTTTCGCAGCTTGTATCAGTCCGGCTGATTCAAATGTCGAGGAAACTCTTAATACTTTGAAGTACGCAAATCGGGCAAGAAATATCCAAAATAAACCAATTGTGAATAGAGATCCAATCGGGACAGAGATGCAGAAACTGCGACAGCAACTCAATCTCTTACAGGCAGAGCTTGTTTGTGCTCGTGCAAGTGAATGCGCACCTACAGTTCTTGAGGTAAGGTCTTTTACAAAATCTAGCAAACATAATTGAAATTGAGTGGCTTCGTAGGTTTTGAAGCAAAAGCTCTCTTCGTTGGAGACTAGCAATGAAAAACTACGCAGGGAGTTAATGGAGTCGCAAGAAAGCTGTAACAGTCTTTGTCAACGTGCTCTTGATGCTCAGGTGGAGCGTGATAGGCTCTTACAGGTAGTTGAACGTCGTCCAACATCTGGTTATGACGAGCACACAGCTGAGGTAGAACGACCTTGTTTTTTCTTGTCTCTCGGTTTAATCTAATTGCTCGATTGCAGCCTACCAGCTTGCTGCAGAGTTACATGAGAACAATTCATGATTTAGAAGCAGAGCTACAGCTATTACGCACGTCGTGTTCTGGCGATGTTCGCCGCGTTTCAACTTCATCCGATGGAGGGTGCTCCGACATCGTTGACGGAAACCATGGTCTTCTATCAGAAACACGCTGCTTAATGTCGCATCTGATTGAGAATTATGCAGACGTTTTTGAGGAGGATGCCATGACTGCTAAGGAGGTGGAGCATCATCTGTTTCTAAGGGAGTGTATGGATAAGGAACTTCAAGAGTTGAATATGCAGCTGAAGGAGAAAGAGGTAAACTTAAATTTTTAGAAACTGTGGCCAGGATTTTGAGATTTTCTTTTGAAAACATGATTTTTATCCGATGGTTCACAACCTGAGCTTGTACTCTGCAGGCAGAAATGACTCGAGTTGCAAACAATGATGCTGCTGTACTCAAAGACCATTTCGATAAAAAAATACTGGAGCTTGAAGAGGAGAAGAAGAAGCTTCAGGTAAACTAAGCATTAGTCTTCTGTTTCTAATCATTTGAAATTATCAGATGGAGAAAAAGCTATTGTCGTCGGAGCTCGAATCACTTCATTCCTCTTCGGATGAACAGACCAAGAGGATTCAGAGTTCATACGCACAGAAGTTGAAAGATCTGGAAACTCAGGTACTATATTCTCTTACACACTTTTTTTCTTCTTTTATTTTTATTAATTGTTTTCTTTCTGGTAGATTTCTGATTTAAAAAAGCAGCAGGAAAAACATGCACAGCTCTTGAGACTCAAGCAACGGAGTGATGATTCGGCGCAACGATTAGAGAATGAGATACACCGAATCAAGCAGCAGAAGGCAATGTTTTCTACCGGGCAGATTTTCAGTTGGACTTACTTTGCAAGCTTACCATCTCCAGGTGCATTTGCAAAACCGCATAAAGCAGGAATCTGAACATTTTAGAACATGGAAGGCTTGCCGGGAGAAAGAACTAATGCGCTTGCGCAAGGAAGGTAGGCGGAATGAGTATGAGATGCACAAGCTACAGACCTTGCATGAAAGGCAAAAACAGGTGAATGAAGGTGTTTATTGTCACCACCATTTTAACATTTTGGCCTTTGCAGGTACTGCATAGGAAAACTGAGGAAGCAGCCACAGCTAGTCGAAGGCTTAAAGAAGTCCTTGAATCTCGAAAACAGGAAGCTCGTGAAAACCATGTGTCAGGAACACCCGCTAAACTGACTGCGAAGACATTTCAGGTTTGCCTCAGGCGTCTCTTGGTTTGTTACTAAGCATTGATTTCAACTTTTGTAGCAATGGTTTGATAACGAACTAGAAAGTGCTGTTAGGCTGCGAGAGGCGAGGCTTGCTTACGAGAAGCAAAATGCTTTGTAAGCACACTGGTCTCTCTTGGTTCAAATATTAACTTTTCTCTTTCAGCCAAGAGGGAGATGCGCGTTCGGACGCTCAGAACGCACCGACGAGGTATGCATTGCTTTGTCTATTTGGATGTTTCAGCTCATAATCGTTTCCCAACAGCCCGTGCGACACGGAGGCTCCTTCAGTATCATCTTTCTCGAATGGACGTATTGATTCGTTGGAGAGGACGAGCACGGCAATTACCATCTCGACCACGGCAGTAGATTTAGAAGAGGAACAATATAGAGTCAGGGGACCAGTTCGGTGGCAGCAAGTGCGTACGCTTGGAGATGCCAAGGATCTACTCAACTTCGTTTTCAACGTTGCAGCCTGTGCAAGGTTATTGAACGGAATCTCCGGACGTTTTCTAACAACAGTAGTTTTGTGATTTGCTGCAGATGCCAGCTAGGTGATAGAGAACACGAAAATAAAGAACTCAATGAGAAAATCAATCTCTTGCTGGATGAACTGCGGCAAACCGAGTGTCAGAAGAAGCAACTAGAAGAGCTGATGCCCAGGACCACCAATAATACTGGTGTGTCCGATGCTCATGCGGACGAGCTCCTCCGGCTTGATATTGGGGGGCTTTTGGAAGAGCAAGTTATGAGTTTCTCCAATCCAGACGAACTTGGAGACGGGGTAAGTGTGTCGAATTGTGTGTGTGTGTGTGTGTGTGTGTGTTTTAGCAGTGTCTTCTTTTCTTTGCAGGCATGCCAGAGCATAGAACCAAATCCAGAGAGCTCAGGAAGGACTTGGAAATGGAGGAAAAGTGGCACTCAAAAGTGGCCGCTCCAGTTCAAGTGGAAGTGGCAAAAGCCTTGGCGGATAGCTCAGTGGACGCAAAAGAACGAGAAAGCTATAAGGCCGGCTTCCAGTGCGCTCAGGGTCCTGGACATGATTTGATTCCGGGAGCTCCTTTTTACAAGTTTTTCTACTCGAGTTTTAGCATCCCAGAGCAGGCATATTTTGACCAGAGTCATGACCATGAAGTTTAAGTTGTCAACGCATTTTAGACCAGAGTGCCACCCCGGCAACGCTCCGGGCATCGAAGGGTCCGTCTAGAGCATATTCTAGCGCATTTTCACCCAGGATGGCATCCCCTTGCTCCCTGCAAGCTCCCGCCATGGACATCCACGCCATGGAGCTGGGCTGGTACGGCATACACCCGGCCAGCTCGGCGGCCTTACACACCTCCCCGGAGCGCGCGAGCATGTCCACCATGCACACGAAATGCCTGGCCCCCGGCTCCACGCCGTACGTGGGCCACATGGACACGAAATGCGCCCACCCCGTCCGTACGAGGCCCGCGTGTGCGCACGCTGCCAGGACGTTAATGAAGGTCACGCCGTCGGGGGCCTCGCCGTGGAGCACCATGGCATGGAAGATCCCCAGCGCATCCCGCAGATGCCCGCTCTGGGCATATGCCGCCAGCATGGCGGTCCAGGTGACGCGATCCCGGGAAGATTCCATGGCGTCAAAGAGATCCCTGGCCACTTCCAGGTGGCCCATCCTACCGTACATGGACAGTAGTGCATTGTGGGCCTGGGCGTCGTCGGGCCGTACGCCGCTGGCCAGGAGCTCGACATGGACGAGCTTGCCCTCGCGCTCGGCGGGCACGGCAGCGCAGGCATCGATCGCGGCCACAAATGTCTCGCGCGCTGGATTGATCCCTTCCACGATCATGAGCTTGAAGAGATCCAAGGCCTCGCTGGGCCGCGCGCTCTGGCAGTAGCCAGAGATCATCGCGTTCCAGGCCACCGTGTCTCGATCGGGCATTTGATCGAAGATTTCTCGGGCACAGTCGATCTCGCCAAGCTTGTTGTAGCCTGAGATGATCGTAGTCCAAGAAATTGGATTAGGATGAGGCATGCGAGCCAGCAATCGCCGGGCTTCCTCCATTTGCCCTTTTTGGGCATATGCGGAAATAATCACGTTATAAGTCGCGGCTTCCGGGTCTTGGACCCGATCGAAGAGATTCCTTGCTTCTCGGAGATCGTCATCGCTGCCGCCAATGTATGCGGCGATCATTGTCGTCCAGGATGTGGAGTCCTTGATTGCGATGCGATCGAACATCCAGCGAGCGCGAGAAATATCCCCTATTTTGGCATATGCCGCGAAGAGGATCGTCTGCGCGACCACGTCCTGTTGTTGCAACCCATTAAAAATTTCTTGCGAGCGATCGATCCGCCCTTGAGCTACACAAGCAGCCATGATCGAGGTGGACGAAACGAGGCCGAATTGTGGTGATCGATTAAGCAGCGCCATCGCGAGATCCAAATGCCCAGATTGGGCAAGCGCTGTGATTATCGCGTTCCAAGACACTGGATCTCTCTCCGGGCACTCACAGAAGAGATCGCTCGCCGCTACCACTCTATCCGCCCTCGCCAGCGCCGCTATCACCGTGTTGTACGACACCACGTCCCGGGCGGGCATCTTGGCAAAGATTCTCTCCGCCTCGCCGGGCTGGGAGTGCCGTACGTGCGCCGCGATGAGAATATTCCAGGAGAAGAGGTTCCGTGCGGCAGCGATGGCGTCGAAGGCGTTCCGTGCGTCCGCCAGGCTGCCCATAGTTCCGTACATTTGGACCAGGGTGTTGGCCAGGAGAGTGTTCTTTAGGTAGTGCCTGGTCGCGGCAATTTGGACGTGGACGCGGTGGACGTCGATTAGGGTCGCGCAGCGCTGGATCAATCCCAGGTACCTGTGGAGCTCTTCCTTGGCCAAGAACATCAAAGCATTGATTGATCGATCGATTGAGAAGAGAAACTATGGATGGATTGATAGATTTGGAAGAATGTATCGCATGCAATCAGATAAGCGCTCGCGCAGCCATTTTGACGTAGAATCTCTCTCTCTCTCTCTCTGTGTTCCTTGGAGAAGACGTAGCGTAGCGTCTTTGCGGGCGGATTCCAAGAGCCTACGCTCAATGCGGTTAATTTCCAAAAGAAAGACGCCACCATCAACAACAACAAAGCAAACGCAAACGCACACACAACCATCACACGAAGAAGGCAAAAAAATGAGATAAAAATTCGGGCAGGGCCAGGGCTAGGGTTTGCCAGTTTCTTTGGAGGGCGAAGGCGCTAGAGGGCAGCGGCGAGCGCCTCGACATCGGGCCAGGTTTGGGGATTTTGGATTCGGTGTGGCCGCAGCCAGCAAGGCGAAGATCCGTCGCGACGGCGCCCCGGTTTATGGGATAGAGGGGGCTGTGCCCGTTTCATGGGAGGGGGTGACACTTGCAGCAGCGACGATGATGAAGAGGAGCAAAGACACGGGCCGCCGCTCAAGCGCATGAAGCTCTCCTCGCCTCACCAAGATTCTCGACGCCAGCACCATAATCTCTTGGCGCCATTTCCACTGCTGTCGCCCAGGCAATCCTCGTCGCTCTACCGCTCGCCAAAGCCCCACGAATCGCTCGGCATGGGTCCGCCGATTGAGAGCCAGATGATGGGGAGCAAGAAGCAAATCCGCCGCGTGGAGTTTGTCCGGATCATCACGCAAGCCTTGTACTCGCTGGGCTACTCTCGCGCCGCGGCATTGGTGGAAGAGGAATCCGGGGTCCCCTTGCAGCTGCCGGTGGTGTCCGACTTTCGCCGCGAGGTTTTGGACGGGAGGTGGGAGGAGAGCGTCGCCACTCTCGCCAAAATCGGTCCTTTACTGGACGAGACGCACAAGCTGGCGGCGTTCCTTATCCTCCAGCAAAAGTTCCTGGAGCTTCTTGTTGATCGCGGCGACGTTCTTGGCGCCCTGCGAACTCTGCGGACGGAGATCTCGCCGCTGGGCGTGAACAGGCAACGCGTCCATGAGCTGGCGAGCTGTGTCGTTTGTCCCACCCGAGGGGATATCTTGGAGAAAGTGGAGTGGAAGGGAAGCGACACGAGGCCAGGATGGCGCTGCTGGAAAAAATACAAGCTTTGCTGCCGCCACACATTATGATCCCGGAGAGGCGGCTAGAACACCTTGTGGAGCAGGCGCTGGCGGTGCAGCGCGAGGGATGTATTTTCCACAACTCCGCTGAGACGGCACTGTCGCTCTATACCGACCACCAATGCGGACGTGACCAGATCCCGACTGAAACGGTCCAGGTACTTCATACTTCGTGCTTGTAGCTAGTTGTGGCTGGGTTTTGGTGAATGTAGGTTGCAGCAGTGTGTTTGTCTGTGTGTTTTGCCTCTTTGGTGAACTGTTCTTGGCTCTGTGTGTGCGTTTTTTCGACAATGTTATTTTAATTTTGATCTTTCTATACATAGTCCATTCTGGATTGATTCGTGTGTCCTGGGCTTCCATGTTTCAGGTACTAGAGGCTCACGACAATGAAGTATGGTACTTACAATTCTCGCGTGATGGCAGACACTTGGCGTCCGCATCTAAGGATTGTACAGCTATAATATGGGAGGTCAGTGCTCATGGATCTAGTTGCTTTCTCTTGGATGCTCTGGAGTCAGTTCTAGATCTTTTCTTTTCGTTCTTTTCCGCATTTGCTCTCTGAATTCGCTACCTACTTAAGTTTTGAATTGGTTTTTCTGCTCCTGCTCTAGTTCTCGTGTCTCGGTCATACAGTCTTCTTCTCTTCTTATGGTGCCTCCATGTACAGGTTGTAGATGATGATTTTGTAAGGCGGAAGCATACACTTGCCGGACATCACAAATCGGTATCGTTCGTAGCGTGGAGTCCAGACGACTCTATGATCTTGACGTGTGGAACTGAGGAGGCAGTGAAGCTGTGGGATACAGCAACAGGGGAATGCAAGCACACGTTTCAGAAGGCGAGCCACGGCTTCACGTCGTGTGCTTGGTTTCCGGACGGGAAAACCTTCGTCACCGGGGCCGCTGATAAGTGCATGTACAGGTGGGACTTGAGTGGTGCCGAGCTAGAAGTGTGGAAACCCAGGATGCCCAGGATCATCGACTTGGCCGTGACGCCTGACGGCAGCAACGTGGTGTGCATCTGCCACGACAAAGACATTCGAGTTTTCAACTTGGAGGACAAGACCGAGAGAGTGATCGAGGAGGATCACTCCATCACCTCGTTATCAGTCTCGCTCGACGGACGCTACCTCCTCGTCAACTTGGTGAGCCAGGAAATCCACTTATGGGACATGGCCTTGAACTCCAGGTCGCCGTGCAAGTACAAGGGCCATAGGCAGGGGCGCTACGTGATAAGGTCGTGCTTTGGTGGATCCGATCACGCATTTATTGTTAGTGGGAGTGAAGATTCTCAGGTAAATCTTTCTTCTTTTCCTAGTTCTTCGTTCTCTTAGTTCCGTCCTAGTTCTAGTGTGTTCACTTGCTTGCTCTTGTTTTCCATTCTTCGATCTTAGCTTCTTCACGGACAGTTCTTAGTTCTTGAGTTCTCACTTTGCTGCCTCCACAAGTTTCTGTGAGTTTCCTTTGTTTGTTCTTGCGTTGCTTCGGGCTTAGTTTTGATGTTATCTTAGCTTCTTCTCGTACTGTCCTCGACTACTTTCTTAGTTCTTGAGTCCTCACTTTGCCTCCAAGTTTGTGTCCTTTGCTTGTTCTTGCTTTGCTTCGAGTTTAGTTTTGATGCTCTTGAACGGGTTTTAACTCTTGTTTCCTTTCTTGTCAGGTGTACATATGGCATAGGGGCAATGGGGAATTGCTAGAGGTGCTACCAGGCCATTCCGGCACTGTGAATTGCGTGAGCTGGAATCCCAGCAATCCTCACATGTTTGCATCGGCTAGCGACGATCACACCATCCGGATTTGGGGCCTGAGCGCCACTAAGCGCGACCGCCACCGCCGATCGTCCGCAGCATCGCCCACTCCAAAGAGCAACGGTGGAATTAGCCACATTGTCAATGGCGGAACCCGAGAGCTTCTCGAGAACCTCAGACCTTTCTAAAAAGAATTCCAAATTCTCTCTAGTACACATCCCTTCCTTCTTCCTCCACTCTTTTCTAGGGCTCTTCCAAGAACAATAATGGCCACTCGTTACTGATTCCTACAAATCTATTGGGGAATTCCCATTGGCCCACGTCATTCGTATTCTTGTGGCCCTGTGTGGAGCAGTACATCTGCGTGGCCACTTTCCATATCGGGCTTTTAGCCAATCCGCCTGTTTTAGAAAGTCAGCATATTCGTTTTGCGCATTCATTTTGCCGGGAATATGCCCTGGCGCAGGAATGGCGATGGCGAGAAGAATGGGCGCTTCCCTTGCGCGGCGCGGCGTCGCCGGCGGCCGGGTTTTGCTCGCGAGGAGGAGCTCTTCCGGATGCGCCTTGGCTGCCGCTAGCGATTTCGATGAGTATCGGCGGTCGATCAACGGCGGGATCAGCCACAAGGCGCTTCTTGTGGATGCGGCGGGCACGCTCTTGATCCCGGCACAGCCGGCTGCTCAGGTATGGCCGCGGCGCCTCCTTCCCTCCTCTTCTTGATCCTTCCTGGCGAATATTTCAACCCTTTTCTCGAAGATTTCGTCTCGCATTTTGATCTGATCGAGTTTCGTGCCAAGGTCTACCGCGAGATCGGGAAGAAATATGGCGTGACGTACACGGAGCAAGAAATTCTGGCCCGGTATCGATGGGCATACTCGCAGCCGTGGTACCAGTCGCGATTGAGGTGACTCTTCTTCCCTTTCTTCTCTTTGTCTAGAAGATTGATCGAAGCTCTCAAACAAATGTTTCGATCTAGATATGTCCGAGACGCGCGGCCTTTCTGGGAGTACATCGTACAGCACGCCTCTGGGTGTTCGAGCAAAGAATATTTCGAGGAGCTGTATCATTACTACGAAACACCTGAGGTATGATCACGCACAGTGTTTTCTCCTTTCAAGAAAGCTTTGTTTAATCTATCCTCTTCCTTTTGATGATGCGTGACAGGCCTGGTATGTCTCCGACCCAGATGCTGGTATGGTCTTTCAAGCTCTCAAAGACGCGGGTGTCAAGATCGCCGTCGTCTCAAACTTTGATACCAGGCTGAGGCCGCTGATGAACTCGCTGGGATGTGATCACTGGTTTGATGCCATGGCGATATCCGCGGAGGTGTGTTGTTTTCTTGTCTCTTCATCTGACTTGGTTTGTTTGTTTTTTTTTTCTTTTTCTTTCTAGGTGGAAGCCGAGAAGCCAAACCCGACAATTTTCTTGCATGCGTGTGAATTGGTGGGAGTCAAACCGGAAGACGCTGTGCACGTTGGAGATGACCGACGCAATGATATCTGGGGTGCCAGGGATGCAGGCTGCGACGCTTGGCTCTGGGGTGGAGATGTTCAATCGTTTCGTGATGTAAGCTTTCTTGTCTGTTTTTTTCCTCGTATTATCTAGCTTCACACTTACAAAATCATAACAGGTTGCAACTAGAATGGGAGTCAATCTTCCCCAGGCGAAGGCGAGGTAAAGTGTAAGGCGAGCTCCAAGTGAAAGAAAAGTACAGTCGCCTCTTGTATAGTTTCCCGGCTTTTGATACAGAGTTTCGCTGTAAAGCATACTAATGTGTGGACTGCTTGCAGCTGAGAACTGCATTGTAATTTTGCTTCTTATAATGACGCGAGATTGGACTGCCATCTCTATCAGCTCAGCGTAAATCTCGTTTCTTTTCCCAATGTTTCTTTAGCAGCAGGGCAGCGCAAAGAGAATCAAGCTGGCAACAGGTCCTAGAGCAAAAGAGCCTGTTGGTACGCACTGCCATCTATTTTCTGAGTTTCAACGTTATACTAAGCTATACTACAGGGAGATGGAAAGGCCAGCCAGCGAGAAACGCTCAAAGCCCGTCCAGGAAAAAGGCGATTTGCTTTGTCGTCAGTGCCGACTAAAGCAGCATTTGTTTTGTGTGGACTCTTCATCAAAGTTAAAGGTAGCACAGCAATGAAACCGAGAGCACGACGAGACACAACTACCTTAAAATCGGGTACGACATTCGGGCACCATTGTTTTCTAACACCTTTTCTAACACCAACTTTGTGTTGCTGGAGCTAAGTTGTCTTAGTCACGCGCAGGGACCCAATGGCAAGCAATTTGATAAACAAGCCGACGCCTCGTCTTCTCCAGCTCGCTGTATTGTGAAAGCTCCGGCCTTTGTTTGCGAGGTGGCCGACCCATGCGAGCGCCGACGGAGCAATCAGGTGAGACCGATGAATCCCACACATTTTGATTTCCTCTCAGAGCCATTTTCTTTGCTTTGCAGGTGACTCTTTGTTTCCCGTGCGCAGGGAATGAATATCGATTTCCTGGGATAGCAAAAGCCTCGGAATGATAGCTGTTGCTTCGTACGCACGAGAGTATGTCTGGCCAGACTTCACGTGTGCGACACAAGGTCCTCTCGTTGTGCTTCTCCCATGATCATGACTCGTTTTTCTTCTTGTTTTCCAGCCCTCTTGCGCGTTGGCTTAATGCTTGCTTGGTTGCTTCCACAGTACAAGGAGCGTATGCAAAGATGGCGGTAGACGCATCCGGAATCTCGAGAGAGTATCTGTGCATGGCAAGTGTTTGTTTTCTTTCTTCTCCGGATTGTAATAACACACTTTATCTCCGATAGTATGTACAGAGTTGCCGCATACGTCACTTGACGACAGTGAAGGAAAGCCTCATGTCTCAGTATAAAAGGCCAGGTTTGTTCTGGATTTTATTCATTCGTTCTTTCCTTCTTCGGAGTGTTCTGAGTGTGTTTGTGTGGTCCTCTCACAACACAAGCTCTATCCATCTTCTCCAAACTTGCAGAGTGATCATGAGTGCCAATCTCGTTCTTCTTATCCTGGCAATGCTGCTTCTCTCGTTCCTGGGAGACAGTGCTCGTCTCTTGCCCACTGCTGAAGGTAGTCTAGTTGGTATTTTGTTTGAAAATCCAAGCTCACTCGTGGTGTGTCTCGCTTGCAGGAAATGGGAATGGCATTGCAGCAGCGGTGGAAGAACCGGGAATGCATGAGCAAGAGGTAGGAGAGTGCACAAGAAGAGAGAGAGAGAGTGTGTGTATTTTGAGTTCTCATGAATTCCTAGAGTTTTAATTGACATTTGTGTTCTGGACAGATATATCCTCGAAAGCTCTGGGCAAGGTTAGACTATCCAAGCCCTGGAACTCATCCAGGCAATCCTCATGAACATCAACTTGAAGAAAATGTGGATTACTATCCTCCTCGCAACCACAACGACTCACCGCCGGCCCACAAACACATCCCTAGCAATGAGGATCGTCCCGAGCGGCACTTGGTAGATGCATTAGACTATGTCCCTGCTCGCACCCACACACCATCGCCAGTGCACTAAGCAAGCAGAGCTCTTGCTCTACAAACAGGTCCACGTCCTTTGAATCCACATAAAAATGCTGACAAAAAAAAAGAGAGGTAAATCCGAGTGTGAGCTTCGTCTCCTCCCACGATCGTCTCGCATTCGGTGTAAATCAGCTAGAGAAGAAGATCAGGTAGGAGAGTTACAAGTAACACAGCGTGAGCAATAAACTTTGGTTTTGGATTAAATTGAGTGAGATTTGATTGTTTTTGTCAGCATCATGTCTTGGGTGATTTTATTCTGATGCAGCGCGCGCTTTGAAACATCACGCTCGAGCAAACAGCTGTAACTTACAAACCGCATCCCAAATCTGTACGCACAGATTGAGTTTCTGTTGATCTGATTGGAATAAGCCTGGCATGCTATAAGTTGGGAAGAGAGAAACTCCAAAACAAAAGACATATGCAGAGTTCTTGCTCCTGACGGATTCTAGCTTCCATTTCCCTTCCAATCATCCAAAGTGTTGTTTTTTTCTCTTGAAACCATAGCACCAAATCTGCAAGATCTCCTTCCAAATGCCCATGAAAAAAATATTGGGCCTTTCTTGGAGGTGATGGTCGCGTTACTACGACTTCCTCCACCTTTTGTATTTTCCCGTGTCAGGCAATAGCGAAGATTTGGTTGTACTTATCCTCGTTACAACACGAGGAACCCATGATTGACAGCAACTTGCAAACTCATTGGCACACTCAGCTCATCCGCGGCCAGGCCCCGCTCCTTGTTTGGAATTTCTAAGTTTCTAGTGGAGGGAAGCGTGTGATAACGCCATGATTCATCCACAGAGAGCAAAGAAATATATATGGCCATTCTCGCCGAAGTGCTCGGTGGGGGCCTGGCTTTCTCTGGGCATGGACGAGTGAGTAGTCATCTCCAACATATAGATGGCAAAGAGGTTAGAAGAGAAAAAAGAAGCAAACAGTACCGCAAACAAGCTTTCTATGCGTTGTTTGTAACAGTAAGCAATTGACCTTTGCTCCTGAAGCTTTGAAACTGATTTGAAAGAGTCGCGTCTCGTCGCGTCATTCATTCGCTCCACATTGCACCGGTGTCAGCTTTGTTCTTCTCTCCCTGCACAAAAAATCTGATGATTCAGAGAACAAAGTGGCTTGCTATATTATCACAGCCATCATACCCAGCCGGAAGTGAGCCTCGAATATCATCCCCTCCCAATCCTAGTGACATCCATGCTCCAGATTCACCACGCTCCAAAAGCGATAAAGCAGCAAGCCACCACGCGACGCTTCTCCTCCTAATCCTCCTCCGCCTGCGTGACACTTCTTAGCCTTAGCATGTAGTTCAAAGCTAAGAAAGAACAAAAGAGTTTCACTTACACTCGTCACTTCGCATGCACCTGACCTGTCCATTCTAAATCTTGAAATCTTTTTATATTTACCCCATTGACCACACACACTCCCTGTGCATGAATCTCATAAGCGAGCGAGTCAATGGTATCTACACACAGTGAACGCCTCACCTGTAAACAGGAGACCGCCTTGTTGAGAAAACAAAGAAAGAAAATCGCCTAAAAAGAAACGAGGAATGTTGCTCTTACTTTGACGCCTTTTACCGTAGAAAACGTCGACAAGTCAGATCGCTCATGACGCAGAATAAGCCGCCCCAGCTACAGCTGTGCCTTGTCATCGGGCGGCCTTTCATCTTTGTAGCTGAACAGGAGGGGGGCTTCCGACTTTGACAAGGCTGTCAGGATTGCGCTAGAGAGAAGACAAGGCACCAAATACAGCAGAGCGGGCTGGGCTGCACCAGAGACAGAGTTCGCCACTGCACACAAAGAAAGAGCACTTGTTTTGTAGCACAGACCAGGCCAGACCATAACACTTACCAACCGTGAGAGTCAGTCCAGCTACGTAAGCAATAACTGAGTTTGAAAAGTATGTCTTTTGTGGTGCTGTCGGGATTGTATTGTTCTGGAACCCGGCACACCTGGCTTGGTCGAACCGGAGCATAAGAGCTATAAGCAACCCTGGAGCAGCGATGTCACCCAGGCCCAGGATCGATTCAGGGTGTGCAACTTCCGCCTGGAATCATCTTTAACAAGAACAGATTAACGAACCGACTAGTTTTCATACCTTCCAGCTTGGAAACACGAGTTTAACAGGCCCATCAAAAGCTGACGAGGTCGCCACCTGATCCAGACTAAATTCAAGTTAAAACTCTTTTCTTGCAGAAATCTCGTTTAGAAAACGTACCGTGACCATCACATTGTCACCAAAAATTTGAGAAGAACCAAAAACCCAAAAAACGTCATAGAACAGCAGCCCGCAAAGCATCACGGCAGCGGTACTGAAGCTGCGAGGAAACACCCCAGAGGTTCAGGAACACAGATTAAAAAATGTAGAACTGCTAGTCACCTTCCAACAGAAAGAAGTTGCAAGAGCTCGGTCACAATACATACTGCCATAAGATTGTTGAATGTGAAAGGTGCTCCGGGTTGCTTGCTGGCGTAAGCGACTCCAATTCCAGCTGCAAGAATTGTTCTAAGAACACAGCCAATAACTCGTGGAAAAAACTCATGGCCATACCAAGCAATGCAATAATGTCGGCCGCAGTGACGGTAAGGCAGACAGGTTTTCCTTTGTCCGAAGCAAGCCAAGATGGCACGTCTAGACAACAAAAGAATTATCAGCACAAAAAAATGTAAAAAAAAAACAAAACAAAATAAAGCACTTACTGATTCGGACTGGAAGTGAATCCAGACGCGGGAAGAGCAACTTGAGAGGATTGGTTAAGTTATTTGCCACGGCAAAAGCTCCAGCGCAGCTTAGATAGATCGAGATGAACGTACGTAGATCGAGCTCCGGGAAGAACCTCAAGAGGCAGTAAAAACCAAAGAGTGATATGGAGCACAACACAGGCGCGGCGAGGCCTTGCTTGAAAGAAACCTGTTGCGTTTGCTGCCTCGCTAAACTAAGAAGGAAACAATGCAATGCACCCCTTTAGAATAAAAGAGGATGAAAAGGGAGCAAAGAAATACAGACCTTCGGTGGCTTCCAACGTAGACTGTCCACAGCGACAGGGAAGTAAAATAGATCGCGGCCGACCACTCGAATCGAGGCAACAATGGCACAACTGGGACTGCAACGAGCAAAGCTCCATAGGCAGCCTACACGCAAACAAGAACGATAATCTCCTTAGAAAAAAGAACCTACAATCGGAGACACTGCTCAGTCTTACCAGCTCTTTCGTAGTCCTCCCCCATTGCCATCCCCTCAGCTCCAGCACGTCGCCATTGCCATCGCTAGTCGCCGCGCACACGAATCTCACCCCGCGTCGCTGGAATTGCCGAAGAATGTAACGCCGCTCGCGCTCCAGCCGAGCACCTCCGCTGGCTGCGACAGGGGAAGACGAGGTCGAGAAGAGCGCCAAGCTCAATGGCAACACCATAGCTGTTGACCTAAAATGATAACACTAAACTTTAAGTTCTGTTAATTTGCTGCTGTTTTTTTTTTTTTTAATGCAAGTTTTGGAGTGATATGGTATGTATTAGTAATAAATAAGCATAAATAATTAGAGAAAATTTTAACTGTGTTACTAAAAAGTTATAAAATTCATGAATAAAATATCTAAAATAAATGAAGAAACATATGTTTGAAATATGCAAGGATTTTTTGTTATCATAGCACATAAATATTTATTTAGAAAAACAGAAAATAGCAAAAAGTCACAACCAACAGATTAAGAATATCCTAAAATATGTGGATATTCTAAGTACACCATATATATAGCTTAATATAATCCACTACTATAATCAGAAGGGGCTAGTATTTTAAGAGCAATTTTATTTTTGCACTAACTGCCACTATATTCTATAGTTCTATAGCTAATACTCTAATTGTGTTTTTGTTAATATTGTTATTAGTCCCATATATCTTATTTTTCCATATTATAATTTACTTTTTGTTAAAATTAAGATTACCATAATTGCAAGCCCCCAGGCTGGGTTATTTCACCTTCAGATCAAAGTTTTATGTCCATTGAATCCATAGAGTCCAATTAAAATACATATTTTGCAGCAAGACAACTTAGGTATCACTCTAAAATTCCCATTGATACACACTACTATCTGTTTTCTGAGTATCAAGATTATACTAAGCAATACTATAGCAAGCACAAAGCCTACTCCAGAAAAGGCAATTGACTTTATCATCAATATAAAATATCATTTGTTTTGTTTTGTGTGGCAAAGTTAATAACATATAACATAAAACCAAAGAATAAGATACAACTAAACTAGGTAGGCGTTAAAATCAAGTTTTACACTCAAAGACCTTCTTTTTCTTTAATAATTGATTTGGACTAGGAGTGAATCTAGATTTATACATGTTTTACATTAACATGTATAAATTGAAGGAAGAATCTCAAGAGGAAGTAAAAACTAGAAAGTGATATAAAAAATACTTTTAGTGGCTTTTTTTTCCTAGTAGAGAGAGAGAGCTTTGTCCTTTGTCATATATGAATTAGGTGTAATGGAAAAAAGTTAAAGATTTAGCTTTATTAATTTTAATTTATAAGAGAGAAAGTATATAATAAATAATTTGCTACTATAAGTACTGGGAATAGGTATATTAATTGGGATTTAAACCCTTACTATTAGTGTATTACCTAACAAGGATATATATATATATATATATATATATATATATATATATATATATATATATATATATATATATATATCTGTGTGTGTGATTTTCAAGAAATGCCTTATATATTTTTTGGTTTTCAGTGGAAATAATAACAATGATAAATATAACAGTATATATGCTCTCGTGACACATTACAACATCACATACTTATAAAATATTTTGTAAAGTGGTAAAGATAAAAATGGAAACACACAAGTACTATGGGTAATATTATAAAAAGAACATGTGGAAGTATATGAAATGAAAAGTGAAATGAAAACATGTTTATTTATTAATTTTATAAAATATATAAATTTATATTATTGATAGAGAATAAACATCAATAATCTTGGCAAATCTAGTTAGCTCTGAAAGTCTTCTATAATTTAGCAATAATAAAGCTTTCTTGGTGTATATAAATGTCCACTTTAGGATTTTGGTATGAGGTGTTGATAAAGATGTAATATATATGCTTGCAAGGAGCATATACCTTCTCATGTTCTTTGTGCTTTGTAAACTCTAAATATATGTAAAAAGGAAAGTCT